TATTTAAAATAAAATATATATATTTAAAATATATATTATAAAATATATATTTTAGGAATGGCTAGCTCAATTTTTGGCTGAGAAAGCAGTAGAAACAAGTAGTGCACGCTGTGAATCACCAAAACGTGTAGCTCGTCGGCGTATTTCTACATTGCATCCTTCCAAATTTCGATGTAAAGGTAATTTTGCTTTTTTTTAATCTGTTAAAGTTTATATTATACTAATAAGTTCTTCACAATATTATCTTTATAGAAATTTCTTTACGTATATTTTTTTAATTTTGGAGGATCAGAAGCATTTGTAACAGTTCATGCCGGGGACTGCATCATTGATTACCCTTGTCCAGTTGGCTGCTCCTGTTTTGATACACTTGTTGATTGCAGGTATTATTTCCCTCAAATTTATTTACAATTTTCACAAGCTATCAATGTTAATGATTGTTTGAAAAGTTTACTTTAGTTAACATTACAAATTCAGTAAATTTTGTTTATGCAAATTTACTGGTATTGAATAATACTTCCTGGCTTTAATATGTACTTACTAGTCAATACTAATATGAATAATACTTCTTACAAACTTCTAGCACTATTTGCAGTAACCGTGGATGGACTGATTTTCCTCATCATATACCTCGATATACAGTGGAATTACATATGTCTAATAATAAAATTACTGCAGTCCGCCGATCAAATTACCTTCATCTTGAGAATCTTACAACATTGTGAGTCGAAAAATTTTAGTAATTTTCATTTTAAGACAGCTTTTTACATTAAAAATATTTCATTTTTAGGTTATTAGATGGAAACAGCATTGAATCCGTGGAGAGTAATTCATTAGCAGCTTTGAAAAATATACGTGAAATGTGAGATTTTCTAATTAGATTATTCATTCAGTTTGTTACTACTCAATAAATTCATTGTGCTTTGTAACAAGATTATAGATTCAAAGTTTAATCGTTTATTATGAGGTATATAACTTAATGAATAATATATCATTTTATTTTTCTTTTTTCCTCTATAATTTTTTTATTGACTGCAAGAATGATTAAGAATATAAAAATGATTCTGATTGATGTGCTATAATATATTCATTTATATTATCGTTAATTAACTTCTCTCCAATATTTAAAAATTACTGATTTAGTAGTCAGTAGTTTTAAACGTTTTCGCAAATATATCATTACTGTGATTGTTCATTTTTGTAAGTATCGTATATTTCAGTGATTTGAGTCGCAATAAACTACAACATTTTTCTACTGAAATATTTGGTAATGAAAATTTGCAACTTAATAAACTGTAAGTTTCATAAAAATTGGATATATCACTAAGTAATTGAATTAAAAATAATATGCTAAAATCTGTAGCTGACTACAATGAGAAATCGAACAAATTATCGCAGATCATTTTAATCTTTCTTTAATCATAAAGTCAAATTTAATTATTTACCAATTAATTTTGCTTCGCAACTCATAATATGACATTTCAATAAGCACAAAACTATGCTTATACCTTTTTAAGTCATATATCTTTGTATGAAGTGAATTTTTGCATTAATAATTATATATCATAGCCAAAAAAATACAAGAGACATATCTCTACTTGTGCTTTACATCTATCATTCTCTTTGTTATTCATGAAAGGACTAATTTTGATAATTCAGAGAATCATATTTTCTCGTATAATTTTTCGACAGAATATTGAGAGATATTGATTTCAGGAATCTGAGCTTTAATCAAATCAAATGTTTTTCTGCTAATTCGCTCACGCAACTAGCTACACTAACATCTATGTATGCTTTCAAAAGTACTTCACAACTTATAAATTTGATATAATAAGGAATCCAATTTTAAACTCGCAAGGAAACAGAGTTACCACCAAATTGCATTTGAAAATTTCAGCTAGTTTTCGAAAAAAATATTTCGTTAAAGCTCAAGTTCAAGTTCAGTTATCAGAAAATATGTTTAGATCATTGACTGGAAATGAATTTGTCTGTAATTGTCACACCGTTGAATTTGTTCACAAATTTCGTGCAAATGGATCTCATCTTTTTGATTCTGTAATTTGTCATGAACCAAAGCAATTACGAGGACGTGCAATAACATCTTTACAAAAAGATGATTTAGTTTGTACTGGTAAATTTAAACAACATTACGATACTATCAAAATGAAAATAATATTTTAAAAACCAAAAAAAACTCCTCTTACGTCATACTATAAATATTTCAGAAGCGATTAAAGATGTTTGCGTTGAAGATGGATATTATTGTCCATCTGGCTGTAGTTGTCATGAAACAATTGTACGTTGTTCAAACAAAAATTTCAAAGAATTTCCAGTTGGTATATCTATCAGAACTACCGAATTATTTTTAGATTCAAATGATATTACCTATATTTCTCATGAACTGAATAAACTAAAAAATCTAATCAAGTTGTAAGTTATTACTTGCTTTACTACCATTAAATTTCAGCCATTAAAATAATTTTGAGAGTATATCATTTCAATTATACTAGAAAGACAGCTGTAAAATAGTTACGACTATTTTGTATATGTATTCATTATGGTTTCGACAACAATTATCACTTCTGCAGTATTATTAGTAGACATAATTTATATTTTAATAATTCAGTAAGCTTTAGATGAATATATGATGATTTTAGCTTTGTGATTATTTGAATATTCGAGGTTTTTTTTAGAATTAAAATTGATGTTTGATGTTTTAAAAATGATGTTCTCAGTTATTTTCTGTTTGGAATAATAAACAGCTTGCAGAGATTTGAGTCATAATCGGATAGCCTCAATCGAAAAAGGAGCATTTAGAAATTTAACAAAACTTTCGACGTTAATTCTTAGCTACAACAAGCTTCAATGTTTGGAAGAAGGTGCATTCTCGAATCTGACCAATTTACGCATTCTTTCACTACATGGAAACGATATTTCAGTTTTGCCAGAATCAGCTTTTGTCAACTTACATAATATCACTCATATGTAAGAATCATTTAATTATGTTATGTTTCAACTTTCTATTTAATTCGTCTCTTCAATATTAAGTCATTAAAAATTCTATTTACCAAAAATGGAAATATTCTTTCATGTCTCATCACACGTTAATTCAATAAAAATTTAGAGCTCTGGGCAGTAATTCACTGTACTGTGATTGCCGTATCGCTTGGTTTAGCCGTTGGATCAAAAGTCGATTTATTGAAGCTGGCATCGCTCGTTGTGAACTTCCATTACACTTCCGAAATCAATTACTTCTTTCAGCTAATGAACGTCAATTCAAGTGAATATTCAATTCTCGGTGTAACTTTTTACTTTCAGAAAAGTAATTACATCAACAAGAAAAACTGAAATTTTAGATGCGATGAAAAAGTACCAAAAAATGTGATTGCTAAATGCGATGCTTGCGTTGAAAATCCGTGTAAAAATAGCGGTATATGTGAACGTACGCATGGAAAGAAGTTTACTTGTAAATGCGCTCCCAGTTTCCATGGAAAATACTGTGAGAATAAAATAGATGCTTGTTATGGTGAACCGTGCCTGAATGGTGGCACTTGCAAAGTAAATCATATGCTATTGTTTATTACTGTGCTTTTATCCTCTTTTGATTTTAAAGCAAATGGCAGTGCTTGAGATGGTTCAATTTTAAGTTCACTGAAAATTTTGAAATTAAATTTAAAAAATTTTTGCTCACTTCAGTTTTAAAAATTTTTGAATATAACTTCTATATTTGCAATTTCCGAATATATCTCACAATTATGAATTATATGTTTTAGCTTACATGTTTACTTTTATTACATCATGTTTTTTAAGATACTTCAAGATGGACGGTTTAAATGTCACTGCGTTAAAGGCTTCGAAGGTGATCGATGTCAAAAAAATATTGATGATTGTGCGCATAATAAATGTCAGAATAATGCAATTTGCATTGATTTGGTAAATTTATTTTAAGATCTAAAAATGTTTGAATATAGTTTGAAAATATGTTCAAGACCAAAAAATTATTTTGTTTTAAAGTTTTAATACTACAAGTATTCATGTAATACAAATGAATGATTGTTTGTGATGATCATATTTCAGATCAATTCATATGAATGTAAATGTCCACCAATGCATATTGGACGTTTTTGTGAAGAAAAAGTGGAATATTGTTCCAAAAAAATGAATCCATGTGCTAATGGCGGAATTTGTGTACGTCATGCTCAGTCTTACAAGTAATAGTTTGATTTGTTCAGTCAATTTTTTTAGAAGCTATAAATTCATCAAAGTTATTTTTGAACTCATTTTTGTTGTTATCAATTATATTTTTAAATACTTAATAAACAATTTGTTACTTGAGTTTATAATCATCAGCAACATTCTAATTTTTGCTCAAGTATATTCAACAGAAAAAGAGATCTGATTTTCCCTCTCTTTATATATAATCATTTTTAGATGTAATTGTTCGCCAGGTTTCACCGGTTCCAACTGCACAATAAACATCGACGACTGCAAAAATAATTTATGCAAAAATAATGCCCTTTGCATTGTGAGTTTTTTGTTAATTATACTATTATAGTATTACTTAGCACTGATAATGTCATACGTATCCTGATAATTAAATCGCAATTAACTATTTGAGTACTTGCGTACTTCTTGATTACTTGTAAATATTATCTTTGTTATTTTGCTTTCTCACATACAAGCCTTTTTTTTTTGCTATCAAGAAACACGCTAAGGGATTATACAAATAACAACTAATACTCAAGTCCTTTAGCAAAACGAATGATCAAAATTTTTTGCATTTGTTTTTCTTTTATTATTTTTGCTAGAAATTAGAAAATTAAATTTTTTCTTTATTAGTAAATTATTTTTGGCAACAATTCAAAAACAAGCCTACTTGTTTATGTCTTTTTTCAGCTTTTCCAATTTTGTTCGTAGTCTAAGTTTCCGAATGCATCTTAGTGCCAAACTATTATTTACAACATTTAGTTAATAAAAATAAATGCATACTATATTTTTACTCATTAAATTTTGTGAATAATAATAGTATAATGATAAATTATTTTACTTCTGTTATTATATCTAATTGTGTAGAGTTTTTGTCTCAGTTTTTCAGATGATGGATAGATCATTATACCATTATTCTAAATGTATGAAATAGTTTTAAACAAGGAAAAAGCTTTAATAATAACATTCAAGATGTTTGTTACATGAGATCTGTTTATCTTTGTAAAACTTTTTTTGGTTCCAGTCTTTAAAATAAATTCAAATCTGAAGTGGAAAGTATATTCTCAGTTTCTAGAATGTTTGATTCTTCCAAATTGCAGCCACACATTAAGTACTTTCACTGAACAGATAATTACAATCTAGAACAGATGAGTACAGATTTTTATTTATAACGAGCCTTTGCATTATAGGCAAGTTGTTACATTAATTCATTTATGCTTCGGAGATGAAGTAGCTAATTTTATTCATAACTGCTAGTGTCGGGTTGAAACTTAACTAGTGTTTTGTCACATGATATTACAAATTGTCCTTTTAAGCTAATACTAGGAAATCCAAAAGTTATATGTGACTTAATACTGTCAGTATTTCTGGTCCATAAGCTATAGCGAGAAATTTAAGGATATCACATTCCACATACGTTGCTAAAAGTTTTGACCACTCATACACTGCAGTCTCAACCTTTGGCTGACTGTGGTAAAATTGAAATTTCTATCTTCATAAAAATTACATTTCTTACTTGAACGTTCTTTGATGTAATTACTTCTATTGAAGTGTGGTCTTCTTAAATTAGCAGTATTGGGAACTGAAGGATTTGTCAGAAAGACACTTTCTTCTTTAGTTAAGCCAAATGTATTCTTGGATAGAATCGTTTTTTTCAACCTCTGTAATAAACATAAACAATCAACTTAACAAAATAGTTGTTCTATAAATTCGAAGAATTACATGCTACCTACATATTTACTTTTCGACGGTTTCTAAAAGTGAAACTTCCAGAATCACTTCATGGATTAGGTGTTTCTTCTGTAAAAATAATGAAATAATGTATTATGTGTACATATAAAGGTTTTATTAACGAAATTGTTGTCAACTGTATGACTCACTTTATATATCATGTTACCCTTACTTAACTATTTTTTCAGCACCATCGCTTTGTTTATTTCTTAATATGCATAATATATTATTCCGTATTATTTACTTCTTTAGTTTTGCCAAAATTTCTATGCTAAATTATTTTAAAAAAAGCTGAAAATTGTTAATTAAAGCTAATTGGAATAATTTTTTTAGGATGGTATACAATCTTATCAATGTGAATGTGTAAATGGCTACACTGGAAAATTCTGTGAACTTCCATCTATCTCGGCTGATCATTATCCCAATACATCACCGTGTCATGCACATTCTTGTGATCATGTTCATTTTTGTTCTACTTTTCGAGACTAAGTTTTTATGTACTGCAAATAAGTAAAAGTGTGATTTGAAAATTAACTATTACCGTTCAGGGTATATGCCATGAATTAGACGATGACATAGTGTGTGAATGTACAGAAGGCTATACTGGCAAGCATTGTGATGAACTTCGTGCTGTTGGATTTGTTTTGGATGATTCTTATATTGCATTAGAACCGTTAATTACTTTTCCTGAAGGAAATCTTACTTTTACATTGATTACGACGGCCAGGTGTTCATTTAAAATTTTTTAAAATATCTATTGAAAGTTTTGAGACCAAATCATGAAAAAATAGTATTTAATTAAAATCTTTACTGGAATTTTAGAATTATCTCATTAACTATAATTTTTAAAGCACGGGAGTGATATTATATCATGGAGATGATGCTCATTTATCGATTGAATTATACGATGGAAGATTAAAAATTTCATTTTGCGTTGGTAATCTTCCTTCCTCTCATATGTACAGCTACAATACTGGTAAAATTTATCTTTCTTTTATATAGATTTAAAGTTTTTATGCTTTTTTTGTGAAAATGAATGTAAAGCATTATTGCTGTATAAACTAAATTAAGTGCTCAATAGAAAAACAATTAAATTTTGATTTAATTTAGAATTTTATCAAAAATATTCCCATCTCATATTAACAAATATTCATTTCAGTACATGATGGATATCCACATCGGATACAAATTTATATCAAAGGAAAAGCGTTAACGCTAAAGATTGACAATTATGATTCTCAAACAGTTGTCAATAGTGGACCTAAAGAAATGTTTACTTTAGCAACAAAGCACTTTTTATACTTCGGAGGCATTCCAACTTCAATTGCTAGTAAAGCTATTGCTGCTTTTCATCTCAAGCATACTCATAGCTTAAAAGGTAAACTATGCTAAGCAAATAAATATTATACAGAAAAATTAATACCAAATATTCATTCATTTTTATAGTGTATAGTATTTAGTGTGGATTATCTCAAATGCATTATTTGTTTGTAGAAAATAAATGCAGTTTTTAGCACTTGCAAAAATTTTATGCTTTTACCTATTTAGTATTACGAGCAGCTATAAAGTAAACAATATTTTGACTCATTTTACCATTAATGTAATGCAAATATTACAATTTTGATTTGATTTATTGTAGTAAATATTTTGAGTTATTTTGTCAAAAATTTGACGTAGATTACTAATTACTGATGTATTTTTGTTTTAATTTTAATTGATCATTTTCATCTTGTTTGTTTGTTGTTTTTATTATTATGAGTGATAAAATAAGCATTTTATAGGATGTCTTTCCGATTTACACATCAACAAGGTAGCTGTTGATTTCCAGAAAGCAGAAAAATTGGAAAAGATTTTACACGGTTGTGCAAAAAGTGTTGATTTATGTAAAGGCGTAGAATGTAACAGTGGTAATTGTATTACTAATACTTCCTTATCTACTGGTTTTACTTGCCACTGCCCTTCTGGTTATAGTGGAAAATATTGTGAAAAACGTAAATCCTTTTTTCAATATTATAACTAAAATTTGATAATTTGGTAAAGGCATAAATTTGCATTTGAAGAAGCTTAATTGTCTAATGACATGAAAATTCATCTTTTAAAAAAAGCTTTTTGATAATATATCTAATTTAAATCTTAAAATGTTAATTTTTTAAAATTTTAGGAGAGATTTTTTGTACTAAAGAAACCTTTCGAGAACATTATGAAGTAGATGGATGCCGATCAGTAGAACAAATTAAAAATGCTCGATGTCATGGATGGTGTGGTCATGATAATAAACAATGTTGTATGGTTGTTAAAAGTAAAAGACGTAGGTTAAAAATGCATTGTAAAAATGGTAGTACTATTTCACGGATTGTTCACATTGTTAGAAAATGTCAGTGCATTATAGATGCAGTTTGTTCTAGTACGTAGTTATTAAATTTTTTTAGCAAAAAAAGCAGAAAACAAAAAAGGAAAAACTAATACTTGAAATTGTTATTCATGTCATGAATGAATTACATCCTCAAATGTTTATAACAACTGTGTAAGAATGAAATAAATTTACGCCAAGTTCTTGTTTTTGAAGATAAGAAGACAAACGATTTGACATGTAGATGCCCATCAACTTATTAATGTCTTTATTGGTTGTATGTTTGAAAAACAAAGTTAAATTAATCTTACCTTCTGTTTTGACAACAATGAAATGTTACTAAAACAGATATGAATTGCACAATTTGAAATATGAAAGTATTCTTGTTAGAACTTTCCAAACGTTTGTGAACTTCCTTTTTCGTGTGTTTTATTTATTTCAAGTACAAACATAATTTATTTGACAGAATTTCAGCTATTTCTCAAAAAAGCAGGCGAAAAAGCTTTTTTAATTCAAAAATTATACTATGAAACATTTTGTTATCGCTGAATGCTAATGATAATATATATCCTTCTTGCGCTTGCAAAGATTTTGTGTAATTTGATAGATTCATGCAGCTATATATTAGCAAAAGCAGTGCAGTGAAATAAATTTTGCACAGATTAATCACTTAATTTTTATTATGAAGTAAAAAATTTTCAAAAAAACTTTTACGTTGATTTACAAAATTCTAGATTAATTGACTAATATCAGTCTTGCAGATCTGATTTATTAACAGTACATATTTAGCTCATTTTAAAATATTTTAGCACAGTTACTTAAACAAGTGTTTGAATTTATTCTGACAAATTTTGCAACAAATCAAAACAACACTTATTGACGACTAAATGCAATAAAAAATAATTGGCAACCATGAAGCACAGTAAATACCTTGAACCCTCCACAATATTACTAAATAATTTACATTCAATCAGATTCTCTCTATCAGCTAATTAATTGATTTAGTCAATAATGGATATTTTCGGAGACACTACTGATCAAATGATGAATGCAAGCAATACAAAATATTGTGCAATGTATTTTTTATTTATAATTATTACTGCATCAACAAGCGATTACCACCAATCATATTAAATAATATAATCAGTAAATTAATGTTTTTGATTTATCAGTTTAGTACAAACAGAATATGTTGTTTTATCTATTCCTATAAAATGTATAAAACTTTTATATTCTTTTTTTAAAAAGTATAGGCTTGTGTATACAACCATGGTTGGGATTTTATTAAAAACTGTAGGTAACCATCCCCTAAGTATTATCTATTTGCCGTGTGGTTAACACATTAAATGCGATGTGCAACTGAAATACTTTCTTGTTAATCATGTTGAAGATCACTTCGGTCTTAGTAATGAATCAATTTTATCTTTTCAGTTGCATAAGTTAAATTTATTATATATAATATATTGTTTAAAATTTATAAAATTTAATTGATCGATTCAACAGAAATTCACAAGCAAAATTTGATCCATACGGAAATCATTAGTTCTGATATTTTCTAGTATCTGAAAAAAACTTTTCTCAAAATCCAGCAATCAAATAAAAATGAATGTTAAATTATTCAAGTGAAAAACTTTAAATGTTTTAAGCTATAATTATGAATAAAATGAATGTAAAACTCTGAAGGAAATTTTACAAACTGTTAAACTATTTTAAAAAATTTTATTTTAATATTTCAAAAAATTCTGACTAATTTTTTTAAATTTATATTCATTAATTTTGTTGGCAATGACCGTCAAAATGTACTGAAACTTTGCTAAAATTTTATCAAACAAAGTAAAAAAAATTTTAATATTAAAACTGACTGCGCTCATATTTATGCTAGAGAGAAGCGTTACAAATTAATGCTTCTATATTGAAATGTTTGGTGATGTATAATAAAAAGTTCATTAATACTTAATTACATTGGGTTGCATATCGTCGAGCGTTAAAATTGTCTAACATTCACCATAAAAATATTATTCACTTCATTTTCTTATCCATTACAGTCAAAATCTATGTTTAACTTAACTGAAGTTCAAATTTGTTAAATAGTATTGTAATATTTATTTCCAATTGTATAAAACTGAAAAAAGTGTTAGATATTAATTTACTTATTAATGGAAACTTTTTTTAAAACGACAAACTTTAATTTTGATGTATTGCCTTTGTAAGTCACATTTTAGCTGAAATAAAGTCATTAGTTCAGAAAGTTGCTAGAATATGATTATTTTAGAAGTAAATAAAATTTAAAGGCGCGACAAAAAAATTTGTGATTTCCAGTGATTTGAAATTCGTTAACAAACTTTAAATGTCCTGGGTAGCAAATCTAAAAACCTACGATCGTATTAAAGATGATGCCAAATACATGAAAGCAGTTTATGGCTCTTCACTGGCATTTATTAGAGTAGTTACTCTTTTTATATAATTTTATTTATTCATTTTATTTTGCTTTTTATAATGAAAATATTATAATTGTCTTTGAATATTTCTAAAGTAATATTTGTAGGAATATTCTGCGAAAAATTTTCTAACTGAGCGTGAATACTATGGTAATTTTGGTTATGGCGAGTGTTATAATTCAACGAGTTCCTCGGTACAGGTATGTTATCTTATCTGTTACTCTATAATGAAAATTTGTTTTCAAAACTTATTCAAGCTTACTTTTTTAGTGTGAGATTGTCACAGGAGAATTCAATCCAAAGCTTTTACCTTATGAAAAACAGTTAGCTTGGCATTTAAAAGAATTTTGTTACAAAACAAGCGCTCATGGAATTCCAATGATTGGACGAGCACCAAACAAATACTACAGGTATTAACATTTAAATTTTTATCATTAAACTTCTTGTAAAAATAAAAAATCCTAAGTAATATTTTTTTTTGAATTTAATGAATTAAGGGCAGTATGGATTTTACTTTTTCTCGGATGCATGACAATGCTCTACCAAAATGCTCAAAGTGTTCTCGATAAATATCATCGTAATGAGAAAATTGTGGATATCCAACTTAAATTTGGCAAGTGTTTCAGAGTAATATACTCAAAATAAGTATAATATTCCAATTTATCATCTTTTTTTCAGAACATAATTTAGATAAATTTAGATACAGCGCCTTTTCCCGCTATCACATTATGCAACTTAAATCCATATAAAGTTAGCCTTGCAAATGATGTGGATCTTATCCGAAGAATGGTATTTATTTAATTAATTTTGAAAACAATATATCCATAGAAGAGTTTTTCTTGGAATAATTTTCGCAAAAGAAGAAATTACTTTAAAATTTAAAAAGATTTGATAAAAAATAATTAAGTTTATGTATTACTATTTGATCACAAAATCTGATGTATAACATACTGATTTCCCAGACTATACAATAGAAACGGAAATCAGAAATAAAGTACGTGTTCAAAAGTGGTGGTAAAATTTTTGAAGATTTCACACATTTGACAATATACTTCAGTTAACAGCGTTTGATGGCGCATTAAACAAAGCTGGTAATTCTCCAGCGTCAAATGATAGTTCAAGTCGAGAACGAAGATCTGCTGGTTCTGAGCAAGCATCAATTTTTGAACCTGTAAGAAATTGAATATGTAATTTTATTCACAAATAGATTACTCAATAAAGTTTTTTTAATTCATTATTTGTTAATAAGACAAAATTTTTTATTTATTCTAACCTTGTGTAAAAATAATGATATTTTCATTTATTTTTGCATTAATCCTTCAATATTTTTTCGAGCAGGGTTTTTTGAGGGTTTTTCAAAATGCAAATGCGAGGATCTAAATGATATTGGAAGTATGTGTGAAGGAGAAAGTTACAAATATGAATTACCAGAACTAAGTGAAGAAAAATGCATTTGTGCATTTGATAGAAATACAAAAGATGCTTGGCCGTGTTATTTAGAAGCATCTTGGCTTAAAAGTTCTTGCCAAGATTGTGATTCTAGAGCATTTTGCCAAAAAGGTTGATTCATTTTTTTTTTCTAAATATAACCAACCAATATGATTATTGTTTTGTCTTTCTTTCTTTTTATCACTTATATTACAGCACAAACAAAATTTTTCTAAAAAATTATATCATATCTTATAATTAATAGCACTATTTTCTATCTTTTTTAAACTCTGAGAGGCAATACAATTAATAGTGACGGCGGGAAACGTAACAGCAGGAAACAACTTTGAAAACATTCCTTGCTTATGTGCACCATCTGGTGTTTTTTGCGTTGCATATGATGGTAATTCCGATATAATTAAAATTTGGGAATATTTGAGTGGTAGTGGACCAACAGAAGATCCCAACTTCATTCAAGCAATGGGTTTTGCTGGAATGACCGACGAGGTGAATTGTATTTTGACGTAAAAATTTTTTCACATAATGTTGAAATTTGCTAAAAAATAAAAAATGAAAAAAGTAAGAAAAAATAATTTGTATTTTTTTTCTGGCTTATAATATATTTATTAAACGTTTTTAAGATAGCAATTGTGACAAAAGCAAAAGAAAATATTATATTTGCAATGGCAACATTGTCGATGAGAGATCGTGAAAGACTGTCAACAACAAAGCGTGAATTAGTCCAGAAATGTTCATTTAATGGAATTGCTTGTGACATTGATCAGTAATTAATATCATTTCATTTATACTAAAAATTTTGAGTTTTCAATCTTTTTAATGTTTTTAGAGAATAGATAATGAAGTGATGATAAAGTTATACGAGTGTGATAGGGCTACATTATGGCAATCGTTATTACTATAATCTACTTCAGTCATACAAGTTTAACAATGTACAGATGCATGCAATTTTGCAGCTAGTTTGTGCTTTTTACTGATACCTAATTGTTATGAGAAGGTTCCATCCATCATTGTAGGTTAAAGAAAATGATTTATCATAAAATGAGAATTCATCAATATAAATTTTTTGAATTTTATTAATTTAGTAATTTATATAAAACTAATTTTAGGGACTTTCTAACTCATATTGATCCTAATTTTGGTTCATGCTTTACCTTTAATCATAATCGGAGCATGAATTTGACCAGTCTTCGAGCAGGTATGCTTCAGAATAATAAATTTGTTAAATTTACAATTAATTTGATAATTTTTAAATATTATCTGATTTTATATATCTCTAAAATTAATATTTAGGACCAATGTATGGCCTTCGAATGCTGCTGTATGTGAATGCATCTGAATATATGCCAACAACGGAAGCTACTGGCATTAGATTAACTATTCATGACAAAAACGATTATCCATTTCCAGATACCTTTGGATATTCTGCTCCAACAGGATATATTTCATCTTTTGGAATTCGTTTGGTAAGAATCTTTATTCTAAAGTTTAAATAGAGGAAAGTTGTAATCTATAAATAGAGTTATAAAATAATTTGCAGAGACAGGTTTCAAGGTTACCAGCACCCTATGGAGATTGCATTCCTGATGGAAAAACCTCTGATTACATCTATCAGAATTATGAATACTCTGTTGAAGTATGTTTTGTGATGATCAGTTCATCATTCTTCTGTTTTATTCGAAATTTATCTTATTTTTAAGGGTTGTTATCGATCATGCTTTCAACAACTTGTCCTAAAATCCTGTAGTTGTGGTGATCCAAGATTTCCTGTATTACCAGGACACGAGCACTGCCAACCAACGGATTCTGTAGCTCGTTTGTATTATTGACAATGTTTTTGACAAAAAAAAAAAATTCCGAATTTTCAAGTTGTATATAAAACTCACTTAAAAAAAATCTTTTTATTAAAAGTTTCAGGGCATTGTCTAGACGAACGCACTAATGAATTAGGTGGTTTACACGGAAGTTTTCGATGTCGTTGTCAACAACCATGTAAGCAATCCATGTATTTCGTGACTTATTCACCAGCCAAGTGGCCATCACGATCTTTAAAAATGCAACTTGGTCTTTGTGATGGTACACCAATTGAATGTAATAAGCATTATAAGTAAGAATTACTTTTACATTTTATTCAACATAGTTCGATTTTCAATCACTGAATATACTATTAAAGACTATTTCAGTATTATATCATCAAACGCAAAATTGAAATATAGTTATTAGTGCATGTGTTTTTAATATTTATATTTTTATATGTCACACTAATTTTCATCCAAGTTTGTAATAACAGGGAAAATGGTGCTATGGTTGAAGTATTTTATGAGCAACTCAACTATGAAATGCTTACTGAATCAGAAGCTTATGGTGTAAGAATTTATATATTTAATTGTTTTAAAATTTTTTAATAAAAATGAAGACTGAAGAAGATATTTGTTTGAATATAATACAACAATCTATGTAAATGAGCTATGAAAGTTTTAAAAAAATAACAATAATAGAAGAAAAAAGAAATAGATAAGAATAAAAAAGAATTTTGCATTTTGAGTATTTAAGTATAAATAATGTTAAATAAGCAAAATTAATAAATGTAATGTCAATACTTTTTAGTTCGTCAATTTATTAGCTGATTTTGGTGGACAACTTGGTCTTTGGTGTGGCATTAGTTTTCTTACTTGTTGTGAATTTGTATTTTTTCTTTGTGAAACAGCATATATGTCTGCAGAGCATAACTATATACAGTGGAAGAAGAAAAAAGAAGAAAAAGCAAGGCAGAAGTGATTTTAATAAATTAAGCATTTATATGCTTATGAGCATAATTTGATATTAGTGTATAACAAAAAGTTGAGTAATGGAAGTAAATAATTTTTATGATTTCTAATTATTAATCATTTTCTATTCTTCAGGTAATCAAATGCAAAAATATTAGCATAAAAAGTTTTGAAAATTTTTGATTTAAATTATTTGGGATTCAGAATAATTTTTGTTTTCTCACTTTTAAATTTTACTATTTATTTTTATAATCTTTTTTTTTTAACTGATTGATAGTAGTGAAAAAGTTTTCATATTTGAATATTATGAAAACATTTTTTGCAAATTTTTTCCATAACTTTTTTATAATCCTAAGCATGAATTAATGGTCAGATGCATTGTGGAAACTTTTTTGTTTTTGCACTATAAAATAACGATAAAACTGATATATTGTAAGCATTGTGCGTGCAAACTATAAAAACAATCATTAAAATATAAGTAAATGAATTATATGAAATATTGTTAGCGATGAAAAATTGTTTCGAATGCTTTAATAGGGAAATACTTTTATTGTAAGCAGTATTTTTTAGCTAAAAATAAACTTAATTCATTAAATTTATGAGGAGATGAACAAAGATAGCTTAATTCTATGAAATTATAATATAATTTAAAGTTTTTAAAACTCTAAGTTGCTTAAAAATAATTATCAACATGAGTTATGAAGATGATCATATTTTCATATTCAGAAAGAAAGATGATAAGGAAGCTTCGAAACTTAAATATAATGCATGATGTGATCACAAAATTTGGATAAATTCTCTTGAACTTTATTAAATTCTTACTAGTTAGAAGTGTAAATAGTATTTTTTGCCATTGTGAAGAAAATTATGCTTAGTTGAATTCATGCAATCAGAAAAATTAATCTCATAGACATTAAAACTTGCATAAATTTTTGTTGTTGTGATTAACGCTTATTTTTATAATGAACATAACGATTAACAGTAATTCCCTTCAGTAAATTTGATTAGAATGTTTTTCATTCATTTCAAATATGGCAAAATAATAACGTTAAAAATCAAAAGGTAAATACATACAAGTAATCTCTTCAAACAAATAAATAATTTTATATGATCTATACTCTGACAGGTTCATCACTTTTTCTATAATTATTGCTAATTAAGAGCGATGAAATTTTAGATTTGAATACATCTATTCTTTACTCACCTCTTTTTTACTTTTTCTAACCACATACTTCTTCATTTTTTACTTTTGGTGCAGTAATTATTTTACTCATAAATTTTTGTATGCATATTCATTCACTTTTGCCTTCGAAAAGTACTTATTTTCTTACCTTAACTAATGTTACTGTCATTTATCATTTTTGAGCAGAGATCGTGAAGAACATTTTCAGGTGTTTTCACAAATTTATATTCACTTTATTCATTTATTTACTAGTAATAATCATGCATAAAAATGCAGGTAAGTCATGTTTGTCTAGCATTCACCAAAAAACTTTTACTAAAATAGTGCCATAGTTAGGGATTAAATTCGCAAAATTAATTAAAAATTATTATGAATGATGCAATTAGAGCAACATATTTGCCTAAATTACCAAATTTAAAGACAGTTGCAAACTGATTAACTTTTTTATAAGTCTACATGCAAAGTCATTCAAATGTTTTACCATCTGAAATATAAATACTAATTTTTTAAATTAGTTTCAGATAGTGTTAATATAATGCTTATTGTATGGTTTTCATCTTTTACATTATCATCAGTTAATGGTGAAAAATCTAATATAAAATGCTATGCTTGCACAAATATCGATACGAAATCATTTTTTGATGATGTACAAGCCTGGGATCTGAAAAATTGGCTTGAAACTACTCGTTTTGTTTCAAAAACTAAGCAATGTGAAGACAAGTTCAATGTCAATGATTTTTCATGTTTTATGAACTGCAATAAATTTTATTCAGATGAAAAATTCGAAGAAAAAAGAATTTAAAAAAATTATAATTGTTAATTTTGTAGTGATTATTTAATTATATTCTATTATATGCTTGCGTAAATGTTATATAATATTGCCAATAAGATTTCTTTCTAACAATTTTTAAACTAATCACTATGATACTTTTTTGAAACTCAATATATCAAATTAAAATCATAATTCTTTCATTTGCAGTTTGAAAGAGCACTTGAAACTCCTGTTAAAAAAGTATCCTGTAATAATGGTTTATGTATGAAGATGTTATATACTTCTGAAAATGGTAAAATATTTTCATAATCAGTATTTATAATATTCGTGCTGAATCAATTTTTATCTTATGTATGCGTTATTACTGGTAACAGTTAATCAAATATCAAATGTACTGTTTGAAAAATGTTTCATTTTATCATTTGGAGCAATTTTGTTTTTAGGAGGATCTCACATTTTAAGAAGTTGTATACTTACTGATCAAAATAAAATTATTCAGCCAGAATGCACTAAAATTGCAAGTTCTAAAGGTTTCATTTTTCAAAGTTTAACATGACGAGAATTATGCTTTAGCTCCTTCACTTTATCAAAATGATGTTGAAAATTATTATTATTTGATAATATTTTATGTAGAATTAATCAAATTTAATATACAAAAGTTGTATAAAAGCCTAAAACAAACTTTTTTTTTTAATAAAATAACACATTTTTATCAGCTTAATTTAATGTAAGCAAAAAAAAATGATTCTCAAAATAATTTTTTCAGGTACTTTAGACGTGTGTATATGTGATAAGCATCTTTGCAATGATGCCACAAAGGAATACATTCAAACATTACAACTGTTATCAAAAATTATTATGTTTTATTCTATAATAATTTTAGCAACTTTTTAATTGTGAATGATATATGATAAGCATATAATGTTAGCATTTTAATATGTGAAAAAACAATATTGATGATAGTCATTTGGATAAGTTTGATTTGATTTGAAATAAAAGAAAATGACTAAGTAGTAAGTACAAAGTTTTATCTTCAACAACAAGCATAACTTTCAAATTATTATGCAAATGAGATAATTATGCTTCTCAATTTAAAAAATATTTGCGAACAAATGCCACTCATGGAATGAAAAAATTGCACAACAATGCATACAAACGAATTTTATCAATAAAAAAACTTTTTTTTGAGGTAAAAAACCTTAAAAACTGAAAAAAAAACTATAATATGGCAACGATTGATCCAGGCATTTTGTTATTAGCAAATGCTAGCTTAGAATACTCATGGCATATTATTCCACACAAGATGCAATGATACTTGCTGAAATAACGATATTTCAAAAGAAGTCATTCAGATTCATTTGTATTTTAAATTAAATTTTTATGAAAAGTTGACCCCTTGATTATAAAATAAATTAGTTCGCTTACGCTTTTTTGGGCAAGCAATTTTTCATTGTTCCTTCTAATTACACTTTTTTTTTTGATTTTAGTAATTACTGACAATACATCCTATTCACATGTATAAATAAATTAGAAAGCACTAATGATATCACGCAAGTTTAATAAAAGTTCGCGATGCTTTTTTTTCTTTTACTTAAAATATGCGATAAAATTTAGTAAGTCTTTGCTTTCAGTATTAATAATAACAAAATATTTCATACCAGAATATTTGTAATGCTTTTGCAGCACACTATTGAAGAATGACAAGAAAATAACGCAAAAGACCAATTAATGCAAAAGTTGATAAATTGGCGCCAATGAGTTTATAATTTCGAGCACAATCATTAGTTTTGTTTACCTTAAATTTTTATTAATTGCAATTTGCAATAATTTTTAGCTAAAAATAGCATTTTAAAAGAAGTATAATGAAGTACGTAGGAAACTTTGCGATTTTGTGGGACAAGAAATATTTGAAGTTGAATAATTTTTGTTTCGAACACTTTTTGAGTTATGACTTTTATATGTGCTTGTGAAAAACAATCATTTTAGAAGGAATGAATAAAATAAAAGTTGCATTAATTTAGTATAATGTGCAGAAGATTAAGCGTTAACTTGGTATAAAGTATAAAAGAAATGCTAAAACTATGAAAAAAGTTATGAGCTTTTATTTACTTTTTTCTATATAAGACAGAACTTACCATATTATACAAATTAGTTGTGCAGGGGATTTGTTTATTGTCAAAAAATACTGAATAAAGCACTTGCAAATGATTATCACTTCCATTAATATTCTTGATCTGAAAACAGCAATAATATTTTGAATAGCTATCTTCATTAATTGAAATTTATTAATTAAAATTAATAAATACGATCAGTGTCATGATGAAAAATGAATGACTTTTTTTTAAATGAATAAATTATTACTATTGAGTTCAAAAAAACATCGTTAATGATGGCATGGCCCAAATCATTTTACTATGAAATCTTATTTGGTGAAATACCGTAATAGCAACAAATGCATCAGAAAAGGCTTAAAACTCACCTTAACATTAATTGCATTTTTGTTCATGTTTGGTTGTTGTTTTTGCAAATCAGGAAAATGCTCGAAGTCTTGTAATGCCAGAAATAGCTTACGATGCAATTCATCTGTTGTTAAATTTTTATCTGATGGAATTTTCAACTGAACTTCATAAATTTTTTCATTTTCAAAATCAGAGAATAATGAACGTTTCAATTTGCTGCTAGATGAGAAATTTTGTTTTTGGAGGGATTTTGTCTTTTGATTTTCTGCATGAAGCTGTTTTTTATTTTCCAAACTTCCTCGCAGTGCTTTTTTTATTACTGGCATAAAGATTGTAGAATTTTCGCTTGCTTCTTTTCCATCCTTCCAAATTCGTTTAATTCCAGCATTTATATCACTCTTTGCTGCACTATTATGTAAGATAAAGTTACCTGAAATAATTGACAAGTTTCAATTATTTAGAGCAAAACAGAAAAATAATTCAGTTGATATCACTAATAAGAGATAGTGCTGTTTGCTTATTATCCTGCCTGAATATATTTTAAGTTCATAATTAACTTGATAAACAAAAATCGAATTCAAAATAATTCATTACGAAAAAATGATAAAATACACGTTTACTTGCTCTATTTACATTAAGAAAATCTGATTAGCTATTAGAAACTAACTTTTAAAACTAATTTTGAGCACCAATTGTGAGATTAAATTTTGATGTAAATTTTATTACAAATCTTATTTATACAAATTATGTTCGCTTTCCTACTATAACAATGATATTATGAATTTGCAACCATATCAAATTCAACGAGTGCCTTCCACACACACACGGTTTTTTATTTTCGATGCTTACAATAATATTACTTTTTTATTTAATGGTTTAAACAAAGTTGCACTGTGTCATTACTAAACATAAATGATCACTTTTGATAAACAAATTATCATTACATCTAACTACTTTGGAATTGAGCAAAATAATTGATATCTAAGAGGAAAAGTAGTAGTAGTAGTATTAGGCTTTATTACTCCAACATTAGTTAGTTTCAACATAATCTGCCATTATCCTTTTTTATTAATCTAATACCAAAATAATTATCTATGAAAAATTGTGCAGAAAAGATAAAAATAAAATATATAAAATATTTGACTATTATAAATGAAAGAGAAAACAATAATAAAATAAAGCTAATTATTTATCATTATGTTTTGTATAATTTATTGGCTCAAAATATAATCTCTAGCATATTATTGAAAGCATAATGATAATGAGAAAGCTTACAGATTTAAATGCCATTTTAGTCACACTTCTTGGCAATAATAAATATTTTTCATAGCGAAATTAACTTAGAGATGAGCAAGATTCCAAAAACACATTTTAAATCATGATGCATAGTCAATCGTTTTGATGCTCCTATAACGGATTAATTCTATTACGCACTAATAAAATTAAATTTTGCTCTTTCAGCCAAATTCATTTTCCTTCTGATCACTATGGTCTGTCTGTTTGTTTACTTCAACGAAGTTTCATTATCCCTCTTATTATTTTTTGGAATAATAAATGTTACAAAAAGCAATTAAAAACTGCTTTAACTCTAAATTTCTTCATTCTGTCTGTGCAATTTTTTTTAATCTTAAAAATATTTTCTTCAATATTATTCTATACATGACCTATTGATTTGTTTACATTACATCGTTAATAATCTTATAAAAATGGCGTTATATTGATTTGACAAAAAATTTTTGCATAAATACATATATATTTTTTGAAACAAGGAAACTTTTGTAAATGTAGCACTAATTTGTTATTAGAAATTATTTGCATGAATACAAAGTTCTCAGAAATGTATAACTTTAATTATGACTTAATAATGACAAGCAAAGATGTAAATATTATCAATGAATTCGTAAATATTTGAAAATATGCAATCTTATGACGTGCAAAGAAGTATCACAATTATGAATTGAGCAAAAATGTTTATTGTTTTCTCATTTTTAAAGCTCAAATAAATTTTCTGCAAATTAAGCGTCGTTAAAAAAATATAAAACTTGGTGATTTAAGTTTAAGTTTATTTTGTATTTTACTAATTGGAATCGCCTTTCTAAGAATAAGTGTTTAACATATTACTGAGAAGCAGCAAAAAATTCTTTTTTAAAATAATTATTTCAGAAATTAGTACTGAATCATCATTTGTGGAATCAGGAATAATTCTAATGTCTGCTCTTCTGCGAAATAATCTCATACTAAAAGCAAATAAAAACCTATAAGTCCACAGCTAACTTCTTGAGATCTCTTTCGGAATTAGAGTTAGCAACAATAAATATGAAAATTCAATGCAAGCAAAGGTTTTTCATAAAAGAACAATAGAAATTCTAAACTTACTAAGACGCTAAAATTCATTTCTGTGATTCGTTCATATATGTACAATAAATTTATATCTTAAAACTTTTTTAATTTGCTCAGTTATCAACCTTTTTCATTTTTTCATTTCCATCTGCTATAAATTTTTAATTATAATATTTATTCAAAAATACAATCATCAATTTACTATAGAAGTTGCAATTTACGAACATTTTATGCTTTCGTTATCACTATTTTTTTCGCTATAACAGAGAGTAATTGCGTTATCCAAAATTAACACCTCTGATTACACGATAATTTAATTTTTACTTACAATACATCAATTTGTAGTAATTATTCGAATTCAAAAAATAAGGTAATTATGAACAACCCTTTCGAAGTGAAGCAGTGGGTAAAGGACGTTTGCTTGATGGAAATTCAAATGGTGGCGAGGAAAATGCTGTCCATGCTGATCCTGAAATTAACAGAAAAGCAAAAATTTGAATGCTACTGAAATAAATATATGCATCAAAACTCATTGAATTATCATATAATGACCAATTGAGCGATCGGTTTTCACAGTGACTGATTCCATTGTTGCTTCTGAAATTATTACAATTGTTATCTTTTTCACAAACAATATTGTAAATGTAGCAGTTTAATTAGGTAGGCATGAATTACGGTTACTTTAATATCAAATTATTTAATTACTTTTCAATGCAGTCAGTATATTTCAATTATCAGTCACGTATTTCACAGCTCATGGCATAGATTTGTTAAACAAATAAATTTCTGATAATGAAGTAAAAATTTGCATAGTCATAAATTAAACTTGTTAAATGTAGATGTGAGATAATCTGTGAAATTAAACAATTTTATCAAAAGATTTTTTGCATAAAATTTTAAAAAATGTAAAAGAATTAAGCTCAATTAATTTAATGTCTCAACTTGCCTGATTTCAATGTTACCAACGGTACTACTTCAATACAAGTCGTACTTCGTGTCGTTTTTTCTGAAAAAATTATTTTAAAAAAAACCAATGCACAAATTTAAAAATTTGCTTAAGTCAATAAGTTTACCTGATTGTGAAGTAAGAGTTGTTAAAGTTGTTGGAATAATTGCTTTTATACTTGTAGTTGAGATAAATTCAGTATTATTTGTACTACTATCATTATCCATAGGCCATGTACCACCTGCAGAATATTCTTCTCTTGACGAATTATCACTGATAAGGTGTGTTGTTGAAGCGGTGCTTGTTGACATTTGTTCTGTGCCAAAAGTCGGAGGAATATCAGTAATAACAGTTCGAGTGATTTCAGTACTAATAAATGTTGTAACTGGAATTAACGGAATAATCGACTGCACTGTTACTTCTATATTAGATAATGTAGTCGAAGGCACAACTATTAATGGCTGTGATACATTGGAGATTATTTGCGATGTGGATATCATACTGTAATTAAATGAAATCGTCGATGAAATATTTGGTGAAGAGGTAATAGATGTCATTGAATTTTGGACTGACAAATAAGGCTCATCTGCTGTAATGGCAGTTATTTCTGTTGCATTTTTTTGATCAACTGATGTCATAATATCTTCATCACCTATTTGAGAAGTTTTTTCATAATGAAGTAAAGTAGAACTTTCAGTAAAATTTGAAAGCCATAAAGTTGTTTTTTGGAATGGTATGGTCAGTGTTGAATACTCAAAAATAGTAGTTGAGGTAGTTATTTCAAAAAGAAAATCAAATGTAGAAAAAACATCAGGCGTATTCTCAAGAGAAGATTTATTTTGTAGTTTTATTATTTCAAATTCAGAACTATTTGCTTTATCAGAAATAGTCTGGCTAACTAATGTAGGAGATTGAAGTGTAGTATTGCTATAGATTTTAGAAGGTATAGTAAATCCATTAATAGAATCAATTATTGGTCCAATGTCTTCAAAATTATCATCAGGAGTTGAAAATAAAGCAAGCATTGTTGGTAATGATTCTAAATCAGCATTGGCAGTGATATCTATAGAAATATTTCCAGTAAAAAGATGCAAATTTGTTTTTCCACCAATAATATCCATATCGTGATGCGAAGCTTTTAAAGCCATCTGTTATGTATGAAAATACAAAAAAATAATTTCAAAATTAAAAATTTTATTGCGCTATTACAATTGTTCAATATAATCTGATGTTTTTGCTAGTTTTTATGTACAAAATTTTGGCAAATATTATTGCCTAAATAATGAAAATAGAATAAGAAATATTCCGAAGCGAAGAAAATGAATAAAAAGGACTAACATTTGTTGAACTTTCTTGCATAGTTATCAGTGAATGGTTTGCAGATGCTTGAATAAAGCTAATATCGCCTGATTTCAATAAAATATTTAGTTGCATCGATACAATGTTGATGTTTCCAACTGACTGTATTTTTTCACCTCCTAAGACTACTGATTTACTACCTTTGTCAAGGACCATTCTAGAAAAAATTACAAACTTACTATCATTATTTGACACCACAAATACTTGAAAAGGAATATAAATTGAATTTTTGTAAAACACCATAAAGAAAAATTATTTACGATTCATTTGTTCAACATTATAAGCAAATAACCAGCAATACAAAGAACCTCGAATACTGGTCAGTAGTAATGATAATATTGGATGAGTTAGGATAAATCTGTATTTGTGTTAATTCACTTTCACAATTTACTGCCATTACATGGTCAGTGATTGATATTTTGAAAGCTGAGACATTAGTTCTTAAATTGACTATATATAATCCGGATTTGATCCTTAAAAAACGGTAATCTGGTGCTATTTGTATACTCATGTTTCCGTATTCCATTTGCATCTGCAGTAATTGATTCATTATTTTTTTGAAAGTTTTAATGCAATAATCATTTCTACTTTTTAGTATAAAAGTTATAATTCAAAAATTTTTAAACGCTTCTCATAAATACAGTAATTAAGAATTTGACTGAAAAATAGAAATATAACATATGCTAGAATCCATATCATCTACAGTGAAATAATAAATTAATAAGAAAGACCAACTTGTGCGTTAAATATGGTAATGTTAATACTAGAATTATTGCTCATAGATTCAATATGAAGCTGTCGATTAAAATTATTTAATATCTTTGAAGAGATGATAGTTTGATCTAGTACACGTAAGTTCGAAGTGGCAGCTGCAATGTGAGCCCATTCACCATTGATGACATTTACTCGAGTAACACCTTTAGATAAAATTAACTTCACATTCTGATCAGCTCTATATTGTAAATACGAATGACCATCAGCACTTCGATTTGCTTTCAAAGACATCTGCAAGTTAATTGAGCTACAATTTGCTCATTTGAAAAAATCAGCATTCCATTTTATGATTACATTGCAAAGATAATAAAACTCTTGAAATTAACTGAAAAGATTGAATTAAATGGCAAAGAAATTAGATCAGCAATTTTTTTTTTTTTGCTTTTTCAACAAATATCTCTTGCAATTAAGTTAAGTTCGATATTAATTGTTCGGTTGCTTTCTTTTGAAAATTATAATTTTTAAAATTATACGAAGAACTCTGAAAAAAAGATACCACTCTTCTTTTAAACGCTGTTAATTTAAGAATAAACGATAATTAGAACAAGTTTTTTGTAAGTTTTTGTAAAAACTGACAAATTTTTGCAGAATTTCTACCCTTTAGAAACTAAAACTTCATGAAAAATAAATAAGTAGTCAGAAATATTTTCATAAATAAATATACAAACTTACTTGAATTTGCTCACATGTTGTTTGCAGCATCAATTTTGATAGCTTAAAAATTGTAAGGATATTGCTTTGAGCTGTAAAATTTTCTTCCTGTCCATGTGGCTGAAATTCTAATTTCGAATAGTCAGACCAAATTTCACCTCGTAAAAATTTTTCTCGAAATTGAACTTTTGACGTGTCCGAATGAACCACAACCCAATTTGCAATTGAAATATTGGAATTGAATGAATGCACCTGTATTTAGGAAAAAAAAGGTTAGAACTCAGATCAAAAAATCAACTATTTTTTAAATATTTTTATCGAATGCTTTCAATTTTTCTTTCACTAATAAATTTCATGGAAATTCAAAAAAAAGAAGAAAAGGGGCGACACAAGCTTTTTATTTTAGAAATCTTTTAATCAAAAGTTTGATAAAATCTTTCATGCACTAATTGAAAGCATACTAAAAAATTTTGCATATGAAAATGCAGAAGAAAATTGGAAAGAATTACAAATAATATAGTTGAAAAAATCTTAAAATTCTTTTTTATCTTTAAAAAAACAAGTGTGATAGTGCTGAGTTTGATAATGTACTAAATAAAGTGATTAAAATAAACAATACCGTAATGTGATCTGTAGGTAATATGTGTCGTTTAAAACGTTGCTGTGAATTACTAACCAATTGGTAATAATAACCAAATAAAAGTACGTGTACGTGAAATACGTAAGGTAGTAGATAACAGTAAGGCATAAACAGTATATTTTAATTTGATAATTAATGTATGTGTAAATAGTGTACTATTATTATTATTATTATTATTATTATTATTATTACACAAAAGTTAGCACATGAGAACGCTTGCTTAGCAATCACCGATATTGCTGGCATAAACTTTCATGCAGTAACATTTGGTTTCTATAGTGACTGCTGGAATGTGCCGAGCAATAAATTAGAAGTATTGCTCAGGCAAAACCATTTATTTACTCGTCTATTTCATCTATTTTCTTCTTCATATCCACTACTTACTAATTGGATAGTTATGGCTCAGGATGGAGTTATTTTCACTTATTAATGTGGACTACAAGCTAAGTGATGCAAATATGTACTTCAAAGTCTTTCCTTCCAGTTAAAAAAGTAGCAAGAAGTCAATTTATCACTAATGCCAATCTTCTGATAATGCTAATCATTACCGTTTGTACATAGCACTGCACTGAATCTTGCCTTGTCTGCAAGAATCTGCCATATTATCGATTGTTTAATGAAACTTCAATTTGCTTAATATTTGACTTTAATATTCAGTGAATAAGTAATTGGCATGAACAATTCAAACAGTAGTCGATGTTGAAAGGCAGTTAAATTCATTTCCATATTGTCTTTTAGTAGGTTAATGATAAGAATTAATAGCTTTCAAATGGGATCTTGTGAGCTTTATCGCATTTTTAACGTTGTAAAAGCAATAAGTGATCAGTTTACTTGAGAAAAAGTTTGCTAATTTTCACATTTTCTTTGAATCTTCTATTTTTATTAACCGAACACCTCGTGAAATCAATCTTTTTTGAAACATTTTTGTTCCGTTTTTACAGTAACTTACTAATTTTTTGTCAATTGCATTCAACTTTTCTCAAATTTCGTTAGCAAAATTTTTTACTTTCATACTTTGTGTGTGTTGGATTTTTTTTTTTTGCAAGTTCAACTTCCAAATTTGATTATTTATTAAGAAGACAATGAAATAATACTCTACAAATAAATCAGCAGAAAGACACTTGAACTTAATACTATTTTACAGTTCAACTTCCGAGCAAAAGAAATGATAATGCTTTCAATCGTAAAAAAGGATGGGATTTGCCACTGAGTGCGTTTTGTTTTGATATTTTAGATCGGGAATGAAATTTGCTACCGAATGATAACACAAGAATACTGAGAGACGTTATGATAGCCGTTCGTGGGGGCAAACTTTTACAAGTAACACATTACTTTCAATATTTATCATAAAACAAGTACTGACGTTTTTTATCCCTAAAGTTAAAAACTTTACAAATTTCATTTTTCAGCGCTTATGAATCAAAAATTTTCATCATTTAAGCTTGCTTTGATTATTTGAGGAAATAAATATTTATTGTTTGCACTGAAAAAAATTTTTCGTTTCCGCTATTTTCAATGAAAATGAAAATAGCGGAAACGAAAAATTGTAGTGAACAATTTTAATGTATGCGTATAATACTGAGTTTAAAAAAGAATAGTGTCTGTTTTCTTAAAACAGTGCTAACTTATTTTCAGAGATATTAACGAAAAATGTAATGAAAGATGCGCAAAAGTTGAACAGCCAAAGATGTAAAAATGATGAATAATGATGTAATTTGATGTATCAGAATCATCTTCAGAAACAACAAACAATTAGACTAATAGCATTTATCATCTCATCACATTTTTTAACAAATTAAATAGCTGATATGGTGGGCAGTGCTATGCAGGCCTAAAGAAGCAATCTAATTAAGTGTGATTCCCACAAAAAAATTGAATTTACTGACCAAAATAATTACCTGAAATAAGTAACTAGCTATGCACTGACAACTGGAAGAGAGAGCACTATGGTAGTAGAAATTAGTCTTGCCAAATATTTTGAACTCACAAATTTATATAGTGCATAAAAAAATAAAGCGAAAGCTATTTTACATTTTCATATCATACTAATTCTGTAAAACACTACCTATGAGAAAAAGCAATGTGTATTATGCGAAATTTCACTACTTTAAATTGACATAATTCTTCGTTAATATTGAATATGAGCGGAAATTTTTTTTTCAAAATGCAATTTGACTAGCATTTGTTTATAATCGGTGATGCTTCTAGTTAGTACAGCAATTAGTATAGTCTTAAAAATAAGATTAAAGTTTACTTTATCAAATTTTTTGCTTTAAATACTTGCAATGGTGATAGAAAAAAAGATGTTACCAAGAAGCAATGATTTTCAAAAAAATTGAAACTGGCGAAGCAGATTCATTCTCACTTAAGTTCGTTAAATTGTCACTGTATCTCGTATTTCTCGCGTCATACACTTTCGACAATATTTTCCATCAAAAATTCCGCATTCCATTCATGTAATTATGTTAATTTTATTCTAAATACTCTGCTAATCGTTGATAGAATACAAAACCAAATGCGAAACAAATGCATCAAAGATTTCTGTAGTTATAACATTTACAATGTTAACGAGTTCACGATAATCATGTTTTGTTTGTTCCTGATTCTAGCAATATGAAAAAGGCTCAAAAAAATTATGAGTGAATTTGCTTATATGATAAAGGCAATTAATCTAAAACTTTTCTGTGGATATAACAAATGCGATAGAGATTTTTAATTATAAATTCAAATATAAAATCAAACTAGACATCTTCCAATATATATATATATATATATATA